TGTATATATATATATATATACAAATTTTATACAAACCAGATTTCAAAAAACTTGTGACACTAAACAATTTGAATAAAAACTGAATGCAATGATGTAGAGGTGCCAACATATAATTTGGAAGCGGATGGCAACAATTTGTTTTCTTTTAGTTTTGTTTTGTGTTTGAAGTTACTAATTTGTTTTTTTTTACTAATTTCTTTTGCATTGCATGTTTTATTTTATTTCTTTTGGAATAATTGAACTTGTCTGTCCTGTTTCCTTTTGTGTTTTGTTCCAGGGACCGAGTAGTGGGCCTGAAGCCTCGTTTTTAAAGATAAATGTTTTACAGAAATTGTTTAATAAAATATTGTGCACTGTTAAGTCTGTGTTCGGGTGCATCCTATAACTTTAAAAAAAATCTCCATCTGCTGGTCACACTTGGCGTTGTCGGCAGGATGCACCATTGAATACAGATTTTTTTTTTTTTTTTGTGCGCGTGTGTTTTTGGTCTTGACTACTTTCTTTTTATTTTATGGTGTAAGACAAGACAGCAGTAGCTATCTAAAGGAAAACTGACCTGTGGACTCCAGATTTATTTCTGTTTTCTTTTGGTGGTCTTCGCCTGCAGGTATGGAGGTGACGCAGCGGCCGGTGGATGGAGTGGATCAGCAGGATGTGACGGCTGGGGGTTTGCCGGGCACATCTGCTTCCCCGGCTGTGGCTGGTGGTGTCATGCCTGCTGCCGCTGTAGCTGCTGGGCAGTTGGTGGTTGTGCCCAGGGACTGGCGTCCCATGTTCGCTGGTAGGACTGGCATTGGGATCAGTGAGTGGATTGAGGAGGCCCAATCGTGCATTTGGGCCCGCCATTTATCAGTGACAGACGAGGCTTTCTTTCTCTTTGATCATTTAGAAAGGGAAGTCAGGGAGGAGATAAAGTACCGCACCAGTGCAAGGAGGAATGACCCAGCTAATGTTGATCAAGGGAAAACTAGCACCCACTGAGTTGTTGAGTCACAACTCAGGTGGGGGAATAGCAGGCTCGCAACTAGCAGCCGCGTCAGAATTGTTGGCATCTTGTTCAGTTGTTGATGTTATGGGAGGTATCTCTGTGACTTGTTTGGTAGACACGGCGTGGTGTCGACATTCACTGAGAGCTGTTTTCAGGAAGATTTTGCATCATTGGGGCGTGATCGCCCCAATGGTGGGCCAAAATACACGATTGGGCCTCCTCACTATCATTTTGTTTAAAAAAAAAAAAAAAAAAAAAAAAAAAAAGAAAAAAGGGCTTTAAAAAAAAAGGTATTTGGGTGG